CACTCCCATGAACTCCATGCACGCGGCCTTCTCCCGGGACACACCACACACCAACTGGAAATCCCTTCACTGGCACTTCCCCAACCAATGCGAACTCTTCAGGAATCCCCGCGAGAGCTCAACCGAACTCAACGGGAACTTCGTGAGAACTCAAAAGTCATCATCTTAATGGCTCGCTGGGGTCACCTCTCAACCACTACTTTTGGCAAAAATGCCATGCGTCATCCCAACTTGGCTGTGGCCCTCAACACATAGGGAATTATTGGGTGGTACCAGCAGGCAGAGAGGGTATGGATGGAGGAGGTGGGTTATTGGTGTTGTGCCTTTGGGCAGTGGTGAGAAGAGTCTCTCTCTTTTTCTGCTTCCTGGTACTATGTCCTGAGCTGCTTTCCTTGGCCACGCTCTTATGTCAGGATGTCCTGCCTTACCTATGGCCCAGAGCAATAAAGTCAGCCATCTAAGGACTTAGATCTCTGAAACTGCTTTGACCCCCCATATATACTTTTCCTCCTCTAAAATTGTTCTTGTCAGGTCTTTTGGTCATAGCAACAAAAAGCTAACTAAAACAGCATGTCCTTTGCACAATGGAATGAAATTATACATCAATAATGGAAGGAAGTTTGGGATATCCACAAACATGTGGGCATTAAACAACACACTTCTAAAAAGAAGAAATCAAGAGAGAAATAGAAATGTCATAAGATAAAAATGAAAATACAACATACCAAAACTGATGTGGTTGGTTCAGTTAAAGAAGTGTTTGGAGTATTTCTTTTGATGGCTGTAAGCAAAGCCAATCTCAAATCAGTAACTTAAGCTTACACCTAAATAAACTGAGTAAGCCAAAAGCAATAAAAAGGAAAAAAAAGTGATAAAGATTACAGCAGAAATTAATGAAATGAAGAACAGAAAACAATAGAGAAATTGTTAGCACAAAATGACCGAGCTGGGTGCAAACTTCACTGATCAGCAAAGCCTTTGTTCAGCAGAGAAGTCATGCATCTGGTGGGCACATTTTCTGGGTAGAAACTGAGCCACTGGCCAAAGGAGGAATCTGTGCTTATACATGCTCCACTGAGAGGTGACTTAATTATTGACAAAGCTTGTAAGTTTGAGCACTCAGGAAACAGGTTATGAGAATTTGAAATTCGTTTTTACTTGGGGAAGAATGGTGGGTCTGGGGGTCAGCATTCAGTGTTTATCTCTTTCCGTTCACGGTCCCATTATATGTCACTGGAAAAGGATTTATTTGCTTTGGCTTCCTCCCAAAGACTGCCATTTTCGGCTTGATAGATATCCCCTTCCCAGGGATTGTCTTCAACACTGAGAAGGATGTATTGGGGAATGATCAATTTTATCAGTGTTTGGCCTTCTTCCTTACTCCCTCTTCCCAGGCCACAGTATTTTGGGGTTTGCTGTTTTCCATATCTTAGAGAAATCAACAAAATCAAAACTTGTTACTTTGAAACGATCAATAAAATTAACAAATTTTAACTCAACTAACCAAGGAGGAAAATGTGTGTGTGTGTGTTTGTGTGAAAGAGGGCTTAAATTTAAAAAGTCAAAAATGAAAAGAAAGAATATAACTACCAACCTGACAAAAATAAAAGAATTATTAAGGGAATACTATCAACAACTCTATTTTGTAAATAAATTAGATGAAATGAACAAATTTGTAGAAAGACATAACTATCAAAATTTATCCAAGAAAAAAATTGAAAATACAAATAAACCTATAACAAGTAAAGTAGTTGAACTAGTCACTTAAAATCTTCTTTTAAAGAAAAAAGTTAGGCCTGGATGTCTTCACTGGTATATTTTGTCAAACATCTATAGAAGAATTAACACTAATTAAAGAATTAACACTAATTAACTAATTAACACTAATTCCTCAAAAACTATTACAAGTATTATAAGAAGAGGGAATACTTCCCACCGATTCTATAAGGACAGTATTAAACTGATAATCAAAATCAAAAACATAAGAAAACAACTCAACCAATCTCTTCAGTACAGATGTAAAATCCTTAAACAAAATATTAGAAAACTGAATCCAGTAACATGTACCAAGGCCATTAGCAACAAAGCTTGTGGGATGTAAAATGGTATATTGGAACACAATTTGACATTCCCTCAGGATGTTAAACATAGTTACCATGTGACTCAGCAACTCTACCCTTAGGTACATACCCAACAGAATTAAAAATTATGTCCACACAAAAACTAGTATATGAATGTTCATGGTAGCATTAACATATCCTTTTGTTTGAGAATATTATTTAACTATATGAAAGAATGAAGTACTGATATATGATACAACATGGAGGAATCTCAGAAATATTAAACAAAGTGAAAGAAGTCAGACACCCAAAGTGGCATACATATGTAATGCCAGTGACTTAGGAGGCTGAGGCAGGAGGATCGCAAGTTCAAAGCCAGCTTCAGCAACTTAGTGAGGCTCTAAGCAACTTAGCAAGACCCTGTCTCTAAATAAAATGTGAAAAAGGGCCAGGGATGTGGCTCAGTGGTTAAGTGCCAATTGGTTTAATCCCCTGTACCACCACCAAAAAAAAAAAAAAAGCTACAGGTTATATGATTCCATTTATATGAAATGTCCAGAACAGGAAAATCCATAGCAATACAAGCTATTGGTGTTCGATAGAGCTGAGGAGAATGGCCAGTAACTACTAATGGATATACACTTTCTTTTTGGGGTGATGCACATATTTTGGATTTAGACAGTGGTGATGGTTGTATAACTTTGTGAATATACTAAAAACTATTGAGTTACATATTTTAAATGGGTGACTTGTACGGTATGTGAACTATATCTCAATAAAGCTATTTAAAAATTTTAATGCCATGCTTTCCCTGGTAATCGCAGCAGAAAGCTCTTGTGTCTTTCTCCCCCACCCTCTTTTTTTTACAGGCACTATGTTGCCCAGACTGGTTTCCAACTCTTGGGCTCAAGTGATCCCCCAACCTCAACCTCCCAAGTAGCTGGGACTACAGGCATGCACCACAACACCCTGCTCTTAATAGTTTTCATCTTTAAAAAAAAAGAGTACTTATTTATTGATGTGAATTATAAATATTTACAGATTCTTCTAGAGAATACAGTAAATAGAAAACCTCCTTTGGTAATGATGGTTGCCCTCAATGTATGCTATGAGGAAAATGAAGGGTTTTTCAAAAGTGTTAAGGAATAAGGATGAAAAAATGTTTCCTATGCCTTAACTTTCATTTCTTTATTAAATTTTATTCTTTACATGACTTAAGGCGTTTCCCTAACCCAGTAAGCCATCATGTAATCTCAAATTTGGCACATATCAAATTCTCCAGTAATCCAATTTCTATATTTAACATGCTGATTCAGGTACCCAATTGTCAGAAAACTTGATAGTAAGTTATTCAACAAGATTTTTTTTTTTTTTTCAAAATGGTACTAGAGATTGAACCCAGGGCCTCATGCTGCATGCTCCACCACTGAGCTACATCCCCAGCTCTGGAAATTTTCATTAAAACGTATGATGCAAGCTCATAGCAGTGGGAGAATGTCATAAGAAGCTAAGCGTTATACATAACTCTGATGAGTCAACCCCCTAAGCCTAACTTACTGTCCTAAAGAAAGCTATTTCTTTGAATATTACAAAGCTTTTTTTTTTTTTTTTTTAAATTAGGGATTGAAAACCGGGCCACTTAACCACTGAGCTACATCCCAAACTCTTTTTTATTTTTATTTTGAGATAGGGTCTCATTAAGGTGCGGAGGCTGTCTTTTAACTTGCTACCCTCCTGTGTCAGTGTGGGCCATCGCGCCAGGCTGATTATTCCAACTCTTGGCACGTTTTGGTTCCAAAACAGTCGCAGGGCCTGGATTCATGCCACCAGTAACTGTAGTATTTTTTGTGACAGAGCCAAGACTCGAGGAAAGTGAGAGAGTAAGTTACAGGGACAGATTCTTTCTAATCCTTGGTTAAAACCAGGCGTTGCGGCCCTCAGCAACTCAGTGGGCTGAGGCAGGAGGATTTCAAGTTTTAGGTCAGCCTGAGCAACTTAATGAGACCCTGTCTCAAAATAAAAAAGGACTGGATATGGAGTTCAGTGGTAGTGTGCCCTTGGATTCAATCTCCAGTAACAAACAAACAAACAAACAAACAAACAAAAACACCTCTAGTCCTTGGTCAGCCAGTGTCAATGCAACAAATGTTGCTGTTGTTTTTTTCCATCCAATGACAGTGCACAGGGGTCCAGCTACTAAGGGCCGTGAGGGAAGAAAAGTTTGTCTTCTCTCATATCTTCTGATTGAGTTTCTCCCTTTATTACATTCATTAGTACATTTGTTACATATAATATTAAATTCTTTCCATAAAAGAAGCTTTGCTGAGCAGGTAACCAAATGTTCCCCAAAAGAGGCACTGTCATTTAGATGATTTAAGAATTGGAAGAGAGAATTCATCAGAGAAAGTCTGGATCGTGACGAACCCCAGTGATTTCCAGCGCCTTCAGACACCCAAGCTGTATTTCGAATCTCCACGCGGACAGCGCCCGGGGGAGCTAGAGAGTGTGACCATCAGCCCGAAGGCGCGGCACACCACACGTAAGGAACAAGTCCCAGAATCCCACCCGGACTCCAAGTCCCAGAAACCCGCAGGACAAACCTATCCCAGGTGCCAAGAAGGCAAGCTGTGGACGCGACCAAGTTGGGAACTGGGGTGAGATGATGTAGTATTTGACCACGACCATGTTTCCTGCAGGGGAGAGGATTCTTACAGACCGATACTCATAAATGATCTACCGTGGCTCCCACGGAAAGTGCGGTTCTTGGAGGTTTAGGGCTATAACTAGCTGCTCCTTAGCTCTCTTCTTTTTTTCTGGCCCCTCGAGGATGGTTCGGCCCGGCACGAAGGCTCCTTGAACTGGTCGGATGGTTGCGCCCGCCCTCCCCCGGAATGTGGGCCCTGGGAGCCCGCGAGGTGGGAGGGGCGGCAGCGGCGGGGAGGCGTGCTGGGCCCTGGTGGCAGTGGAGGCGGCTGCGGCCGCGGGCGGTGGGAGGAGCCGCGAGGTTCCGGCAGCCCGGGCTAGGCAACCCTTGGGTCGGCGCCGTGGGCGAGGTACGCAGGTAGGCGGGCGAGCGGCCGCCGCTCAGGGATCGGCTCGGGCGGCGGAGTGCAGAGCGGCCCCTGGCGCGCCCCCCGCACCCTCGGCCGCCGGCGTCCAGGCGGGGCTGTGAGGAGATGCCGACCCAGAGGGACAGCAGCACCATGTCCCATACGGTCGGGGGCGGCGGCAGCGGGGACCACTCTCATCAGGTCCGAGTGAAAGCCTACTACCGCGGGTGAGTGTCTCGGAGCAGTGGTGTGGGTGCGAGCAAGGGGAGAGGCCAGCTAGGCTTGGCCTGGAGGAGGGAAGGGTGAGGGGCTGGAGGTGTTGTGGGCGGATTGGGCCGGGCTGGCCGCTGGAGGGGGGGAGGGGGTTGGTGACGAAGTGATCTGGGGAGGAGCAACCTGGCACTGATTGTAGGTACCCCAGGTGTGGTGCCGGGCGGGGGGAGTCGGGGGCTTGAGCGGCAGCGTGGAGTCCGAGAAAGAAGCCTTGGTACAGAGTGTGTGTACCTGATGGGGACGGGTCGCTCCCCTGCCGAGATATCTGCGGGGGCTGTACGTCATTGGTTTAGGTGTGTTTGGGGTTGAGAGTTGAAGATTCCTAGTCTTGTCTCAGGTAACCTCGGTTTGCTCAGGGTTTAGAAGACAGGACTGTCTCAGTTGCTGGCCCTTGTGGTTCCCGGCAGGCCTAAAGCCTCTGGTTTTCCAAGTCAGGGTTATCTTTGCCGAGCAAAAGTTCATGGAGTACATCTGAACTATAGTCAGACCAGTATGTTAGATGTAGGAGTCATACCTAGGAGTAAAGTTGGTGGCGTTTTCAAGGATGTGTATTAGGTGTTGTGTCGTCGAGAGTGAGCGGCAAATGTGTAATTAAAATTTTGCGAACCGTTCTGTATTAGTATTGTTTCAAGGACCATCTGATAAGATGAGAAGAGGAAGAGTCACAGCTTTAAATTCTGCTGTCTTTCCTCATATTATTACCTAAGCTGTAAGTACTTTGGTTACCAGAAATAATTCAGTCCTGAGATCATCGTGTTAAATCACATTCTATCATCAGTGACGCACAGTACTCCCCTTCGTTTGAATTTAGCTGTGGTTTGAAATTTTTTGGAAGTAATTACGTTTAGGAGTATTAGTAAGGTGAAAGGCTAGTGTAAGCACAAAGTTTGACACTAAGGATTAACAGAAAACCCGACTGCTTTGGCCCAACTTACTGCTTGTCTAGGCAGAAATAAATTGTTTAAAAAAAAAAGAAAAGAAAAGAAAACACTCAAGGACTGCAAGATTGAAACTGCAGTGCATACTTTTACATTCCTGAGAGGATCAGTGAAGATAACAAACTTTCGAAATGCCTCTCGTTTTGATTTCAAAGAAAATATAATCCCCATATGTCTTATTTATTAGATGTAAGGATTTGCTAGTTTGAAATCAAGAAGCCCCTGTCTTCTGTAAAGGTTGACTGCATTCAGTAGTTTATAGAAAAAACTTCCTTTTTTAAAAATTAATCTAATCGATAATTTGATAGATGAGACATTTCATTTTGGAGTATGTTCCCTTTTTATAAAGTTGACAAACAGTCCATGAGTCATTAGATGCAGAAATATAGTTTTTTTAAAGGTGTATGATTATTGATAGTTCAACAAACTAGATTGAGAATAAATACATGCACATGGCAAGAAAGTACAAATTGTGCAGAGATGTAAAATAAAAAGTGTCCCTGTTTCTCCCCTCAACTTCCACAGGTTACCACTGCTGGCAATTTATTTCTAGTTTTTCTGAAGGTTGAATTTATTACTTTCAAAGTTGTACTTTCATTTCTTGATGTATCAATTTCAGATTGTATTTGATTCTTTTCATTAGAAAGATGAGAAATTAAGTGCACAGTACCTTTGTCTCCTGTCCTTCTAGTGCCTTTCATGTTTTGGCTGTTAAGATATTTAGTTCTCTGTGTTACCTTCATGGTTTTAAATAATCTAAAATCTTGACTAAAATTTTGATGGCATCCAGTGACTCTGAAAGATAAATTAATGCTTCTTCATTTTTCCTACTTTTACTTAATAAGTGTAAATAAACATAAGTTAAAAATATTGTAAATGTCTCCTTGTCTCCATCCTCCTTTTTTATTTTGGTGGTTTGAGGATTGAACCCATAGCCTCCTGCATGCCAGCCAAGTGCTCTACTAGTGAGCTACATTCACTGCAAAGGTTCTCTTTTGGAAAGAAATCAGTCTGTTGTGCTCAGATATAGACATTCTATAGATATTTTCTTCACTTACTGATCCAATTACAAAAAAGAAGACACTAAGGACATACAACTTTTTAGTTGTTTTAATTAAAATTTGTCTAAGACATTCAAGTTAATTTGTTTTTGTTTTTGATGGTACAAGGAATTGAACCCAGGGCCTCCTATCACTGAGGTACATTCCCAGTCCTAATGTTATCTTTTAAAACTTAGAAAATTTGCTAAGGAAAGACACAATAACCTCTTGCCCTTTTGTGCCTTTTGTTCTATAAAAGCTTTCTAATACTACCTTTATTTCAAGACATCAGCACCCTCTAAACTGTACAAATTTCTGTCCTCTGATATTAGGTCTTTTAATATTATGTTTATTCACAATAGTCTAACCTGATGATTATAGTAGTATATAGTCAGCTGTTCATTAATATATATGAAACTAAAATGAGTCACCAATGAAGGGTAGTTAATAAACAGATTGGCTAATGGAATACCTACCTGTTATTAAAATAGAACATCCCTTCTTTATACTCAAAAATATAAGGACAATTGCATTTAAAAAGGTTTTCTTTTCCATTAGATCTCTTGAACAGGCATTATCACTTAACTTTTCCTGTACTCCCTTATAATAGTGTTTCTTTACAATGAATGTTGAATCTTGAGATAACCAGATTTCTTAAATGAATAAATTGCCTTCTCCCTTCAGCGATATGTATGATATTCTTATTCTGCTGAATTTGATCCTTGTGAAAGTGTGATATAATCAACATTTAATTTGATTTTTCTCCCCTAGTTTTCAAGCAGGTGATTAATAGCACTGAGAATCTGATTTTTATGGAGACCAACCTAAGGGTTGCTGTCTCATGGCCAGCACCCTTCTTTTTCTAACATGAGAGCTTTTCAGTGAGTGGCCTTCTTCAATCATTACCTAGTGGTATTAGTTCAGAGGAAGAGAAACAGGTTTTGTTAGTTAGTGATAGATTGCTATTGTATGTGCATATCCTTATATAAAGTTATTTGATATTATGGGGTGGAATTTAACCACATAATGTCTGGATTACTCATATCCATATGGCATTATATGTTATGAGAAATTTTGCAAATAACTTTAAAAAATGCTTTTTTAAACTGCTGTTGTTGAACAGTGATAACAAACCATAGGATACCTTCTGTGCACATTTAGAAACAAAAAGGATCGCTAACTCCTTTTTTTTCCCCTCTTTTGGTGGTACTGGAGGTCAAACCTAGGACCTGACACGTGCTAAGTAGGTGCTCTGTCACCAACCTGCATCCCCAGTTAAGATTGTTAACTCTGCATATTTGGGCTTTATAGCTGGTTTGGTGAAGGAGCGTGTAGGATTTTTCTCACTGTAAACAAGTCTTGTCAAGACTTGYTTCGAAAAGTGTTGCAAAATTATTTTGAGAATATAGTTTAGTAATGGTTCTGAGAAAATAAAAACAGTGTCTTGAGTTAAGCATTGGGGGAATGGTAGCAGGTTGATCCTAGAGATTTTGGCATAGCACTCAGCCATAGGGCAGCTGATCCATAGTTTGGCCAGAGAGAAAAAAATAGGACAAGGTGGCCTACTGCCAAATGAAAAAAAGAGAGAGAGAGAGAGAGAGAGAGAGAGAGAGCGCAAAAGAGAAAAGAAAAAGAAACCCTCTCAGAAATTTGAATGAAATAATATGGAGATAAATTCTTGTCAAGCACTGGGGACTAAAGCCAAAGAGTTGGAGAACAAGGCAGGTGAGGCCAGAACTGACTATATGCAAACTAAAGGTCTAAATATACAAGAGCTGACAAGGAAGAAGCATTCTGTACAGAAAATTCTCCTAGAGGTCCTTAGTTGTGATAGCTTTCTCATAGAACTCCTAGGCCTACCCCACCAATTTGGGTATAGGGGATTGAACCAGGGGTATTTAATCACTGAGCCATATCCTCAGCCTGAGACAGGGGGTCTCACTAAGTTGCTTAGGGCTTTACTGAGTTGCTGAGGCTGACTTTGAATTTGTAATCCTCCTGCCTCATCCTGCCAAGCTTCCGAGATTACAGGCATATGCCATCTCACCTGGCCTAGGCCCAGGCCCCATTTCAAAGGTAACTTGAGTGACTGGTTTTTTAAAAAAATATTATTATTATTTTAATATTTATTTTTCTTTTTAGTTGGAGTTGGACACAATCAGCTATGTCCCCAACCCGATTAAATCTTTTTTTTCCCCCTGATTGATGAACATTTGAAGTTGTCTTCATTAAGTCACTACTTTAAGTAATATTAGAGGAGCATCCTTATATTTAATATATTTGCAAACAAGGCCGAAGATATTCTCATTTTAAAATTTGACATTTTCTTCCTCAAAACTTAATTTACATTCTCAGAAGCAGTATGTGAGTGACGCTGTTTCTTTATGCTTTCATTGCATGTTATGTGTCTTTTAAGTTTTTGACCATTGGATCAGCAAAACAGTAACTTTCTAACAAGTATGCTTTTTTTAGGGGGTAGGGGGATACAGGGGATTGAGCCCAGAGGCACTTAACCACTGAGCCATATCTCCAGCCCTTTTTGTATTTTCTTTACAGACAGGGTCTCCCTGAGTTACTTAGAGCTTCACTAAGTTGTTGAGACTGGCTTTGAAACTTGCAATCCTCTTGCCTCAGCCTCCTGAGCCACTGGAATTACAGGCATGCGCCACTGTGCCCAGCACAAGTATTCGTTTATACATTATTTTTAAACTAATTTTATTGGTATATTATAATTATACATAATAGTGGAATTTGTTGTGACATTTGTAAATGTATATAATTTGGTCAATTTTATTCCACAGTACCTTCACTTTCCCTCAAGTCCTTTCTTACACTGGTCCTCTTTTTCTAATCTCTGGTCTCTGTTTGACTTTGATGAGATTCCCCAACTTCCTTTATTTTATTCATTTGTTTATTTGTGGTGCTGAGAGTTGAACCCACTCTTCACACGTGCTGGCCAAGTGCTCCACCACTGAA